GGAGGGACGGGGCCCAGCTGCGGCGAGGCTTCGCCCCTCCACCTGTCGCGCTACCTCTCACTGGGCCTCGGTTTGCGAAGCGTCCAGCTGTGGCGGAGGGCGGGGAGATGGGCGTGGCCCCAGCCCGTGGCCCCACCCCGGCCCGCCCGCCTGGGAAAACAGTTTGGGATGGGCCTCGCTAGGCTTCTGCACGCAACTTAGACCTCGCCGAGGGCCCCCTTCCACAGCACTCAACCAACTGCTCCTTCTCTTCCCCATCATTTCTGCCCTCTCCCACACCCCCATCATTCCACCTACTGCACACCCCAGTGCTAGGACCTTGGCAGAGACCCCGCGTGGCAATGCTCCCCTCCGTGTATCCCCACGGGCCTCCCAAACACCACCCTGACTGCAGTTGAGGGGCACCTCCAACGCGGTGAGTTCAGGCACACCCCCCACCCCCCCAGCCATCCAACAGTTGGGGCCCAGGAGTCCCAGGCTTGAAGGATTACACTCCATAGAGGCCTTGGGAACACCTCAATACGTGGTATAATTAATAACTTATGCATGCCAGAAGGCAGACACCCAAAACACACCCCCCAGCTACCCTGTGCTCAAAAAACCCAGGCAAAGAAGCAGGTGCCCAAGTCGGCTGCGGCCGGGGAGAGTGGGGGCTGGAGGGGTGTTCAGAGAGGGAGGACCTCTTATGTCCAGCTGGGGATTGGAAGGGATCCTGATACCTTCCCTGGTAGTCCTGAGAAGCCGGGAATCCAAAGAGGGGCTTCCTGCTTTCTGTCCAGCCTCCAGGCCGATGTCTATGCCCCTCTCCCACTCTTCTGTGAGGAAGGTCTCAAGGGTGGGGTCCCCTTCATCTCCTCTGTTCAATTCCCTGAGAAAGCAGCAGCTGGAACCCCCCCAGAAGTAGCTGGAGAGACCACAGGCCCTGAAGGGACGCAGACAGAGGGAGCCTCCAGTCCTCAACCTCACTGGCAGGCCCGGAAAGTGCTGAACTCGGGGGGCTCAGGCGAAGAGGACGTGGAGGTGGGCCTCTTCCGGGGCCCAGAGTTGCTGGGATGAGCATCAGGGGTGGCCGAGTCTTCTTCTAAAGTCATTTTCTTTGTCCATGGAAGAGAAGAGAGAGAACTGAGTGATCGGGGGTTTCAGGATGTAGGGCTCCCCCCTGTTCTGAGCCTGAGACTCTCCCAGCCCATCAGGTCTCATCTCACCCCCCACCCCCACACACGTCCTGGCCTTCTATTTTCCTGCCTTCCTCTCTGCTGAGTCGGGCATAGAGAGCCTGGGTTCAAGTCCCAGTTCCATCAGTTTCTGACAGTTGAGTAACTTAAGCCCCCTGTGCCTCAGTTTCCCCTTCTGCAAAATGGGGAGGATGTTAGTACCCACCTCCTAGGGTTGCTATGAGTCTTAAAAGAATAGAATAGATAAAGCGACTGGCTCATGGTAAGCTCTGTTTCTTAAGTGAACAAAGCTATCGCTATTATCTCCTACTCCGCTCCCATCCTAGGCCCTCTGAAAACCTTCAAAAGTCTGCCTTTTCCTCTGCCTTGGAGGCTCCTGCCCCAAATACCAGTCAAGGGGAGATGAACTTGCCAGAACTGAAGCCAGGAGGTTGAGAGCAGGCTGGGAGTTCCACTCATAGTCCTGCCCCTCCCTAGCTGAGCCACCCCAGTAAAACCCACAACCAGCCTGTGTCTTCATTTGTACAAATAGTCAACCCCACCTCACAGAGTGTTAAATATCAGGCCCTCAGCAAGGTAACGGTAAAAGCTAGAGACATGCCAGCTGCTTCGTTATTATTTCAGCCACCAATACAGCTTTATAAATACTTCCAAAAGAAACTAGAGTTGAAAGCAGGGACTCAAACAGATATTTGCACACCCATATGCACAGCAGCATGATTCACAGCAGCCAAAAGGTGGAAGCAACCCAAGTGTCCATCTACAGATGAACGGATAAACAAAATATGCTATATACATACAATGGAATATTATTCAGTCTTTAAAGGGGTGGAAATTTCTGATGCTTCAACAAAGATGAACCTTGGGGACATTATGCCAAGTGAAATAAACAAGTCATAAAAGGACAAATATTGTGTGACTCCATTTATATGAAATGTCCAGAACAGGCAAATGCAGAGAGACAGAAGGTAGAATGGTGGATGCCAGGGGCTGGGGAGGAGGATGGGGAGAGAGTGTTTAATGGGGACAGAGTTTCAGTTCGGGAAGATGAGAAAGTTCTGGACGTGGATGGTGGTGATGGCTGCACAGCAATGTGAGTACTTAAGGCTGCTGAACTGTATGCTTAAAACCAGTTAAGACGCTAAATTTTATGTGTATTTTATCACAATAAAATAAACTAGAAAAAAGATCACTAGAATTTACTGTTAAGGGAAAGAAGAAACATGCATAATGTGTAAAACGTGCTATCCATTGTGTTAAAAAGGGTGAAGGTACAGATTTTCTATAAAGTTCCTAACAGTGTTTTCCTGTGTGTCTGCAGAGGGGGAGCTGTATGGATAAAAAGCAGTGGGTTTGTGAGAGAAGAAAACTTTACTGTATACATAACTGGGGTGGGGGGGCAGCTGGCTGGTTCCAGGATCTGAACCCTTGATCTTGGTGTTAGCAACACTGTGCTCCAACCAACTTAGCTAACTGGCCATCAGCCAAAAGAAAACACAAAACAAACAAAAAAACGTTTAATGTGAAATACACTTGCATGTCAAAATTGTATACACAAGGCTGGCCAGTATGGGGATCAGAACCCTTGACCTTGATGTTACAAGACTGTGCTCTAACTAACTGAGCCAACCGCCCAGCTCCATATTAAACATTTTTTAATTAAAATACATTTTTTTCTAAAAGCAACTAGGACTAAGATCCTGAGAAATAAGTTATTTTTCTCCTTACTTTTCTCTGTTTTCCATTGTTTCATTCAAAATGACTTTTATAAAGGGGGAGGGGGATAGACCGCCAGGCTGGTATTCCGGGAAGTGCGGATTCTCACGAAAAGTTTTTTAACTTGTCCCACCTGCCAGGTTTTGTTTGTTTGTTTTTTGGGTTTTTTTTAAATTTTTTTTCTTACTGGCTCAGAATTCCAGGATTTGTTCCGCATGCTGAGACCTCCGGGGGTGAACAGGCCGTTGCCAGGCCCCCTTCCTTCCCACCATCTGCATCCCAGCGCCTCCGAGTTATCTCCAGAACGGACCTCTCTCCGGACCTCCAGACTGTGTCTTTATCTGCTTTCGCGCACAAGCCAGCCCCTTCCCCAGGCCTGCCCCTTGGCCCGCTTCTTCCACCTCCGCTGCCAGCAGATGGAACCAAACCACCCACCCCCGGGCGTGCCTGGACCACTACAATCTCCTCCATCCTGGTCCTCGGGCTCCTGCCCTAGCCCCCGACTCCCAGTCTGTCCTCCCAGCAGCAGCCACCAGAGGGCGCCTGTGAGCACCTGAATCCGGTCATGACCCTCTACTCAGAACTCTCCATGGCTCCCACCTTACTGGGGAAGTCAAAGTTCCCCACGGGCCTCCCTTGACTCCCCACTTCACTGCACCCCAGCTTAATGGGCCGTGCCAAAACTGTGTCCTCAGGCTGGCCCAGACATCCCCAACCTTTCCCGGCTACCTCCTTGTCACCCATCTCAGAGATTTTCCTGACCTCCCCCCCCGACATGGGGTTGTCTGTCTCTCCTCATGGAATTAAGAAGTTCCGAGGAAGTGACAGCCTTACTGTTCTTGTCCAGATGTCCAGGGAGGGTGTGTCCCCTGACCGGGCTGTCGGTTGGCCCAGTTCTCTATCCCTCCCCACATCTGTGAGGCTCCTAGCAGAACGACTCTGCCCCAGGCTCCCCAATGGCAGTCTTCTGAAGTGTCCACTTCTCCAAATGGGACCTCTAAGGCCACCTGTAGCGGGGCCACCTGCAACCCAGGTCCATACTGCTCCCCTACCCCCGTGTGGAGAGATGGCTGAACATTTGGCCCATGGAGTTCGTGGGTCAGATATCACTAATTTAGTAAAAAATATTTTTTTTTAAAAAGGGGGCAGGAGTGCTGGCCAGTTAGCTCAGTTGGTTAGAGTGTATCCTTATAAGTAAATAAATTAATAAGTAAATTTATAAGCAAATAAATAATAAATTTATAAATACATAAATAAATTTACAAATAAACTTACAAATTGTCATTTACAAATAATTTATAATAATTTTAAAATAAATTAATAAATAAATAAATTTATTTTTTAAATAAATAAGTAAATAGTACAAATGCCAAGACCACCCCAAGATGCAGCTGTGCAGAGGAATCCCATAGACCCAGGGGTTTTTTTTGTTTTTTTGTTTTTTGTTTATTTGTTTGTTTTTTAAAAGATGACCGGTAAGGGGATCTTAACCCTTGACTTGGTGTTGTCAGCACCACGCTCTCCCAAGTGAGTGAACCGGCCATCCCTATATGGGATCCAAACCCATGGCCTTGGTGTTTATCAGCACCGCACTCTCCCGAGTGAGCCACGGGCCAGCCCTAGACCCAGGTTTAAATTGCAGGCTTGACACTGTGACCTGGAAGGGAAGCTATGCCCCTCAACAAGGGGGGTCTTCTTTGAGATCTTCCCCCTAGATGGAAAGGCTCAGTGGGATATTTAAGCTGAAATCTCTGAAACTAAACACAAAAACAAGCTTTTCTTTTTTTTTTGTTTTTGTTTTTTGGCAGCCGGTGGGTACGGGGATCCAGACCTACTAAAAACAAGCTTTCCTTTATAACGGGGCGGGGGGGCAGGGAACGACGACAAAAGCATGCATCAGATTGTCACAAGTCTCCATGAACAACGCAAAAGAGGCCACCAGGTCACCCTGAATCCTCTGTCACCATCCTGAGAGGATGGTCTGACTGAGCCCAAAGGCAGCGCTGACCACGACAACAGGTGCCCCTCCAGAAGCCTTCCCATTGCCGTATGAAGGCCTGGGGAAGACTCTGGCTTTGACCCTAAGTGAGGTGGGAGCCATGGAATGTTCTGAGTAGGGAAGGGCCCACCTCTTTTCCCTTTGCCACCTTCAATCCTCTCACCCCCTTGGGATTGTTCAGAGCTAACTCTGGGCTCACTAACAAGTCCGCATTCAGTGATTCTGGGCTTTTTCCTGGCCCCAAAGCTCAGAGACAGCAGGTGTCCGCAGCCTGGTGGTGTTCCCGCCACCCCACCCCGCCCCAGTTAGAACAGTCAGCAGTCAACTGCGACCAAGAAAAGAAACAACTCACCGTGGAGATGGCAAACAGGGTGTTATCAAAGGACATGTCTGAAACGGAGAAAGGAAAACCAGGGTTGGGCACCAGTTTGAACTTCCCTGCTCACGTCTCTCCCTGCCCCCTCCCCCCACAACCCACAGACCCAAAGTCAACAGTGAGGAAGGGGCAGGGGTGCGTCTCCCAGGATCCTCTCCTGCTTCCTTCCAACCCATTCTGCAGGTGAACTGTTCACAGTTACAAATTGAACCATGTCCCTGGATGCCGCAACTCAACTCACGTCTTCCAGAAGGAACATCTGTCTAAACTCCCCCTCCCCAGGCTATTATCCAATCGCTTAGACATCACTTCCTTGGGGACCCCCGCCTGGTCCCAGATAGGTCTGGCCCCGCCATCGGCTGTTACCCCACTGGAGTATGGGCTTGTGGGCAGAGACCACGTCTGTCTGGGTCATCGCGGGATTCTCCCATGTCTTAGCACATAGTAGGCACTCAATAAGTGTGTGAACAGGGAATCGAGCTCTCGGCTGCGGCCCCTGCAAGAGCGCACGGGGCATCACAGACTGGCTGCTTCTCGCCCACTAGTGGAGGCTGGCAGAATGACACGTCCCGCAAGGCAGCGGGCTGCAGTAAACGTGGGGTGCCCGAGACAGACCCGGTCCTCCCCTGGTGGAGTTGGCTGTCCCGCGGGGGCAGCGACTATTAAATACGTAGCACCCAATGATCACCTAATTGTATTTCCACTGAGGGGTAAGAAGAATGAGGGTGCTGGGGGCATGTATGTAGCAAGTGCAGACCAGGAGTCCAGGAAGGCTTCCTGGAGGAGGTGACCTTTAGACTGAGACCGAGAGAGGAAGAGTGCTCTAGGCAGTGGGCGGAGTGAGTGAGAGGTAAGAGGCTGGAGCAAAGAGGGAAGGTGAGAGCCCAGGGGAAGAAGTGGGGAGGGTGTGCTTTGACTCTAAGAAGAAAGAGCTTCTACAGAAGAGGTTCAAGTAGCAAGTCATGAGGCCCAATGGCGTTTTGAGACAGTGGCCTTGCCCGGGTGGGGTCAGGAGTGAGGAGGCACAGACCTGTGGTGGCGAAGTTAATCTGGGCCCAGCAGGATTCTTGCTCTCTGCAAAGGGATTCAGGAAAAAGTGACAACGGGTCAGGGTTGCCCCTTGAGGCAGGAGGCTTGTTCTGGAAAGCCCTGGCTCCAAACCAGACCCAATACTTGGCCTTCCCTCCCCACCCACATCCCCACCCCACCCCTAGCAAGGGCCTGTACAGGGAAAGCAATAATGCCCTCCTTTCTGGAGCTGTCACACCATGCGACAGCTCCTCAGCCAGGCGGATGGACATTCTCTTGCAGGAACTCCACAGCCACGTGAAGCTGGGACTTGATCCCCAGAGAGGCTCTTCAACACCAGGCAGCAGGGTGTCTACCCCTCTCTCAGAGCAGAGAAACTAAGGCAGGGGCCAGCTGGGACATCCTGGCACCCAGGATCAAGGGCCACTGCCTACAGTGCAAGCTGGGCACAGTACTATCCCAAGCGAGCCACAGAAATCCAGTGAAAATGTCTAGAGTGCTTGTGACAATTTTCTGGCAGCCAGTGTAAAGCGATGTGCATAAGCCTCAGCCACTTCCTCCCTGTGGAAGCGCTGAGCCTCAGTCCCCTCATCTGTAAAATGGGTTCCAGGGCTGCTGTAAAGATAAGGTGAGCTCTGGCGTCAGAGTGTCCTACTACAGTGCCCAGCACACAGTAGGTGCTTAATAAATGGCACCTATTCCTATTAAGCAGACCTCCCACCAGGGAAGCGCTTTTCTGTCCCCAAATCACCCTCTGAGAGTCTCCTGCGGTGGTCTCACCTTTTCTTCTGTAATTTTTTTTCTTTAACTGGGAATAAAAAATAAATAAGCCTTTGTTAGATTTTGGTCCTGGTTGCATCTGGCAAGTTTCTAAACCCAAGAAACCAACAGCCCCCGAAGCCCTCAGATTCATAAGCCCCTATCCCGGATCCCCATACCGGCCAGCCCCCCAAACAAACAAACAAACAAAAACCCCAAATAAATGAATATAAGCCCCCACCATACATTTGCAATCTAGCTTTGCCTCTCCCCAGGGCAAATTTGCTACTCCAAACATTTTTTTTTTTCAATTACAGGAGTAATGCGTGTTGGTTAAAAACCTCAGAGTGCAAGCATGTGAAATTGTTTTACTTAAAAAAATACTAATTTCAGTGGTTACCAGGAGCTGGGGGATGGGAAAGGGGAGTGAGTGCTTCAGGGGGGCAGTTTCAGTTTGGGAAGATGATAAAGTTCTGGAGATGATGGTGGTGATGGCTTCACAACCATGTGCATGTTACTTGATGCCACAAAACTGTGCACTTAAAAATGGATAAAGTTAGGGCCGGCCCATGGCTCACTTGGAAGAGTGTGGTGCTGACAACACCAAGTCAAGGGTTAAGATCCCCTTACTGGTCATCTTTAAAAAACAAATGGATAAAGTGGTAAATTTTATGCTATGTATATTATACACGAGGGTACTTCAAAGAGTTTGTGAAAAAATAGAATTAAAAAATAACATGCCACCAAGGTCCAGGGTTCAATCCCTGTACCAGCCTGCCACACACACACACACAAAAAGATAACACGAATCTGTCCATGAACCTTTACCCTTGTATATACCAATCGGCCCACCACCATCATCTCACTTCCGATGGCTTCTTCACTGCTAAGTTTTGGAGTAAGACCTCCCCAAACTGTCTGCTCTTGCACTCTTAAAAGAAAATGGGTGTGAGGATTTGCACATTCCAGAGGTTATAAACTGGCAATGCTGCCTCTGTGAGCTGTTACCTTTTCTGACCACCAGGGTGACAGCCACCAGCCCAGTGAGGAGGAGGAGGGTTCCAACGAGGCTCAGGGACAGCGTCAAGATCCAAGTGGGCACTAGAGGAAAAATGAAAAGACAGAGTGGACAGGATGAGGAGCCTTGGAGGGGGGTAGGGACAGGGTGGGACATCTGTCATTTCTGCAGGTGACCTTTCAGGAGCCAAACCTCTCCCTCTACCCCCAACTATGCAGCTTGGGACTTAGCAAACTTTGTGTCCGGCCAATTAGCATATTCCCTCCCCCTGGCTATTGTGATTGGTTCAGGGATGGGCATGTGGCCAAAGCTGAGCCAACGAAAACTAATTCTGGGACTTTGGCTGGACCACTTGGAAAAGAGGTTTAGGCTTCTGGCTAGCATTGCAGAACTGATAGAGTGTACAGTCACGTGTCACTTAACAATGGGGATGCGTTCTAAGAAATGCATTGTTAAATGGTTTCATTGTTGTGAGAACATCATAGAGTGCACTTACACTCACCTAGATAGTATAGCCTACTACAGACCTAGGCTATAAGTATAACCTATTATAGCTTCTACATAAGCAATGTAGTCCACTACAGTGTTACAACAGTTACCACATCACTAGGCGATAAGAATTTTTCAGCTCCATTATAAGCTTTTCGGACCACTGTCATATATGTGATCCATCACTGACTTAAACACTATTATGTGGCACATAACTGTATATCTGGAGCTTCTGGGCAGGATTTTGCCATCAAGAGGGGAAGAGCCTACCCAAGAATAAATAAATCATAGAAGAAAGTGGAGCTGGGGCCGGCCCGGTGGCACACTGGATAGTGCGCCGCTTGGGAAGTGCGGCGGCGCTCCCGCCCGAGGGTTCGGATCCCACATACAGACCGGTTCCCGCTCACTGGCTGAGCGAGGCACGGGAGCAACACCGAGGGTTGCAATCCCGTTGCCGGTCCCCGGTCCGGTACGGGGGCAACACTGAGGGTTGCGATCCGTTGCCGGACACGGAAAAAGACAAAAAGACAAAAAAAAAAAAAAAAGAAAGTGGAGCTGAAAGGTGGTAAATGATTCCTGACATCTTTGAGCACCTGGATCCAGCCATGCCTGAAGTCAGAACATGAACTGACTTCAGTTCAGTGAAGCAATAAACTCCCTTTTGTTGCTGAAGCCAGTTTGCGTCAGGTTTTTAGTTATTTGCAATCTGAAGAGTTCTGCTGGCTTCAGCCTGGGTACCAGGGGGTCAGATGACATCCACCCCTATCCACACAGTGTACTGTTAGACTCACACAGAGGTCAGCCACAGAGGCATGGAAGTGACAGTTCCAGGGTTTTCTTCTCTACAAAGGACTCAACTTCCCCTCCCTGGATTGAGAGGGGATCCCTCAGGGGACCTGGGAGCAGATGCCCTTGACCCCAGTGGAGGTCAGGAGCTAAGCCAGGAGGGAGAGAGGGAAGACGTACGCTTGGTCTTCTCACAATGTTAGGCCTTGTTCATTCATTCATCTGTGGCAGGAGGGGTGTTGTCACCTCCCCACTCTAAGACCACAAGGCATAGGTGAGAGAAGGGGCCTTTGATAGAGGAGCTTGATGCCAGGAAGGACACAGAACTGTTCTGTCACCACAGCATGCAGGCCTCATTGTCAACACGGTTCTCTTTGCAGAGGGAGAGCCCTGACTGATGGTGACACATAGGGCCAGCCCTGCCTCCTGCTTCTCGACCCCCACCCCAAAGCCTCCTCTCCTGGGAAGACCAGGAGCCTCCCAGTGCTCCTGTCTTACTGGGATGAAAAGCCAAAGTCCTTGCTGTGGCCCACAAGGCCCTGCATGATCCTTCCCATCACCTCCCTGCCCTCGTCCCCCCACCGTCCCCTCATCCACTATACTTCAGCAATACTGGGCTCCTCCGTGTTCCTCACACACCCGGTATGCTCCAGCCTCAGGGCCTTTGCACAGCCTGCTCCTCTGCATGCAATATTCAGATCCCTACGTGGCCGGCTCCTTCTCTTCATTCAGTTTTTTGCTCAAATGCCACCTCCTCGGAGAGGCCTTGCTTGGCCACTCCACTCTCTACTTAACATGACACTCTTCACCAATGTCCCCCTTTACCAGATTGAATATTTATAGAACTCCTCTTTTATTGTCTGTCCCCATTCTCCTGGAACATCAGCGACAGGAGGGCAGGGACATTGTCTGTTTCATTCACTGCTGAATCTCCAGCACGAAGGGCAGTGCCTGGCGCATAGTAGGTACTCAAAAATTTTATGCGGTGGAGAGGGGAAGTTTCAGTAAAGCATGAAAGTTTAATGCCTGGCCTTTGGAGCTAATGGCATCCCAGCTCTGCTAGCTGCTAACTGTGTGACTTGGACAAGTCCCTGCTCCTCTTGTGCCTCAGTTTCCTTATCTGCAAAATGGGGAGAATCACGGCACCCACTTCATGGGGTGGCTGTGAGGATTAAAAAAGAAAAGTCCTGGGCCGGCCTGGTGGCGCACTCGGTAGAGTGCGGCGCTCCCGCCGAGGGTTCAGATCCCATATAGAGACCGGTCCGCTCACTGGTTGAGCATGGTGCGGACGCGACACCGAGGGTTGCGATTCCGTTGCCGGTCGCGGTGCGGGCGCGACACTGAGGGTTGCGATCCCATTACCGGTCACGAAAAAAGACAAAAAGGAAAAAAAAAAAAAAAGGAAAGTCCTGGCAAGTTGTAAGAGATGTACATCTTTTGCTGTAGAGATGTCCACTCGGAGGGGACAGCATGTGCAAAGGCTTAGGCTGAGAGAAGGCACCCTGTGGCAGTGTGGGCCGCTGGGAGGCTCTTACCTGGGAAGGAGATCTGCACAGGCTCGCTGAGGTCTGACAACTGGGGCTGGCTGTGTTCACCCATCACGCCATACTGGCAGTGAAATGGTCCCCCTGGAGCCTCACTGCTGCCACCACTCAGGTTGAAAGTGACCCCGAGCTGGTCTGCAGGGGCCTGCAGGAACTGGACCACATGCCCGCCTCGGTACAGCGTGAAATTTGCCCCCATGTAGCCCCCTGGGGCCATGCATGAGATGTGGATGGGATCCTCTTGGCTGCTCGGGTGTGGGGGGACCAGCCAGATGGACGGCGCTGGGATTGCCAAGGAGCCTGCAATGCAGAATAATGAGAGGTCGGGTGGTTGCATGGTTAGAGCAGAGGCCCACCTGGCTGTGCGGCCTCAGGCAAGTAGAGCACCCTCTCTGGGCCTTAATTTCTTTTTCTTTTTTTTTTTTTTTTTTAAAAAGATGACCGGTAAGGGGATCTCAACCCTTGACTTGGTGTTGTCAGCACCACGCTCAGCCAGTGAGCAAACCGGCCATCCCTATATAGGATCCGAACCCGCAGCCTTGGTGTTATCAGCACTGCACTCTACCGAGTGAGCCACAGGCCGGCCCTGGGCCTTACTTTCTATGTGCATTGGGAAGCTAGTGATCGCTACCCCTCTATGATTTTGTGGGCATTGAATGCCTGGTGCATGGTGTGTTTGAGTCACTTTATAGTAATAGCCATGGTTATTATACAGCAGCACAATTATTACTTTAATCTACAGCATTATGTGCCAGACCCTGTTGTAGATGCTGGGGACACAGCAGTGAAGGAGACAAACGAACAGACATGTCTGCCTCGTGGAGCTGACGTTCCCTCAAGGAGTCAAGGAGCGTTGGGTAATTGGAAGACTGTGTTAGTTGAGGTGGCCCCAGAGGGCTTCCCAGAGGAGGTCACATCTGAGCTGAGTGACAAAGGGTGAGGAAGGACCTGTGTAAAGAGCTGGGGGAAAGCATTCCAGCCAGAGAGGAGGACATGGGCAAAGGCCTGGCGGATGGAAGGGACATGGGGGTGTTCAAGGAGTGCTGATAATGACAGGGCAGAGGGGTCCTATCGCTTTTTCCAGGCTGTGGTGAGGAATATGGATTTTGGAGTACAGTTTCCTGTGGGAAGAAGGTTCTCCCAGGAACCAGTCTCTCCCCTAGCTGCCCACAGGCTCCTGAGCAGAGTGTCTGGCCAGGTGAGGACGACACAAGCCTTCCCTTGTGCAGCCTCCACCCCCCACCCGGCCTCACCCCAAGCAAACCCTCCTGTTGCCCCAGCCCTCAAGGTAGGAACCTGCAGAGGCCGAGTGGGGCTGAGTCATGGGGTGTGGGCACGGCTGTCTCTGGTAGGGTGGTATTTCTGATATTCTGGACTTAGGGTTGACGAGGAGCCTAACACAAAAAAGCGATATTCCTGGGGAGTTTCCAAGGCTCTCAGGCAAATCTGTCCCGGCTTGGCTTCCTCCATCACCTGGGAAGGGCAGCCCCGTACAGGTTTCTGCCCCTAGAGCAGCAAGGAGGGCAGGGGGCGGGGGAGCAGGGCGAGGTGTAAGAGGGGGGCATTAGACTCACCAGCTGCAAAGAGCAGGACAGTCCAGGGCATCTCTCCTCCCGCGTTTGGCTGGGAAATCTGGCTGAGGCCAGAGGGGCCCACGGCTCCCCGCCAACTCCTCCTGTGAGGCCAGATCAGGGAAAGGAGAACCAGGGCTAATTCGAGCCGAGTGTTTCCTCACTGGCAGGAAGTTGCATACACACACTCGGGCACTGAAAGGGACTCTCTCCTCTCCCCACCCCTTCCCGAAACAGACACCAGACCCGGGCACCTCTCTGTACCCTGCTGGCTGTGGTTCTGCAGATTGGTGGGAAAAATGGATGAAGTGGTTAGTTTTTTTTTGGTTTCTTGTTTCCTTCACCCTAAGAGAACTCCTGGGCATGAGGAAGGACGAAGACAGCGGGCAGTTTGGGAAACCCACGCCCAAGATGCAAACCACAGCCCCATCAATACCAAAACTGAAATAAAATGTGGGACAGAGGGTGGTAGGGCACGGTGGTTAGGGCTTGGTCTCTGTGACCTCAGTCAAGCCTCAGTTTGATGCTCTGTAGAATGGGGCTAAGAGCAGCAGATGCTAGGTCTAAAGAATTCATGATATGAAATGCAATACCTGGTGGACTGTGAATGCTCCCAACGGGAAGCAAGAGGGAAGAAAAGCCTCAGGAGCCTCACCAGCCAGGTTAAAGGGAACACTAGTTAACAACTGAAGATGATATACTTTTCAGGATAAATTGCCTCCTGTTTATGGCCCAGAAACTTCCAAGGTTTTGTCTTATCAGGAGGTTTGCTTTGGTCTCTCTAAATGTGTCTGTTCAAGCCAAGTGGGTCTACCTGAAGGTTTATACTGAGGAAAGGTGTTGCATGTGGTCATCAAACACCAAAAAAAGGCCATTAGAGTGGACTTCTTTCTTTGGATACATAAAGTTCATTTCAACCTCAGGACCTTTGCACATGCTATTTCCCCTGCCTAGGACAGAATTCTATCAATCCTATCAAATCTCATCTCTCCTTCAGGTTTCAGCTTAAATATCACTTTGGGGAAACCTATCCATACTCCTCTGGACTTAGAAAAATCCTCTTGCTAAACTCTCCCATAATGCCCTGCAATTTTCCTTTATTGCAATTAGCATGCTTGTATTTTCAGGAATTTGGCTATTTCATCTGAGTTTTGGATTTATTGGTATAAAGTTGTTCATATTCCCTATTACAGGTTTAATGTCTGTAGGGTCTGTAGTGATGTCCTTTCTTCCATTCCTAATAATGGTAAATTGTGTTATCTCTTTTTTTTTTGATTAGTCTTTTGAGTGGTCAATCAGTTTTATTAATCTTTTCAAAGTACCAACTTTTGGCTTTGGCATTTTCTCTATTTTCTGTTTCCTACCTATTTGCTTTTCATTCTTTTTTTTTTTTTTTTTTTAAAGATGACCGGTAAGGGGATCTTAACCCTTGACTTGGTGTTGTCAGCACCACACTCACCCAGTGAGTGAACCGGCCATCCCTATATGGGATCCGAACCCGGGGCCTTGGTGTTATCAGCACCGCACTCTCCCGAGTGAGCCACGGGCCGGCCCTGCTTTTCATTCTTACATTTATTATTTTCTTTCTTCTAATTACCTTGTGTTTAATTGGCTTTTCCTAGCTTCTTAAGATGGAAGCTTAGATCATTGACTTTAAACCTTTATCCTCTAATATAAGCATTTAAAGCTATATATTTCCCTCTAAGCACTGCTTTAACTGCATGTCATACATTTTCATGTATTGTACTTTATTAATTTAGAAATATTTTATTTCCCTTGTTTTTTTCTGTGCTGTAGATTATTTGTACTTAATTTCCAAATATTTGAGCTTTTTTGATAGCTTACTGTTAGTCTTTTTTGGCCAGCACAGGGATCTGAACCCTTGACATTGGTTTTACCAAAACCACACTATCCCAAGTGAGCTAATTAGCCAGCCCACTGTTAATCATTTTAATTTAATTCCTTTATGATCAGAGAATACATTTCATGTTATTTCAATCCTTTGAAATTTATTGACACTTTTTTTTTTTTTTTAAGATGACCGGTAAGGGGATCTTAACCCTTGACCTGGTGTTGTCAGCACCACACTCACCCAGTGAGCCAACCGGCCATCCCTATATAGTGATCTGAACCCATAGCCTTGGTATTATCAGCACCACAGTCTCCCGAGTGAGCCTCAGGCCGGCCCTATTGACACTTTTTTAATGGTTCAGCATATCTTGATCCACATGTGCACTAGAAATGAACATTGTGTAGTTGTTCGGTATTCTGTATATATCATTAGATTAGGTCAAGGTGGTTCACAGAACATTCTTGAACTTACTGAATTGTTCCTTCATGATTTCTTTAAAAAGCTCTCAATTAGCACACAGTGAACTACAAATATTTCTTGATCGTCTGACCTGTAAGCCAAAAAATATCCATTCAGGTAAGTTTTGTAGCTTTATGCTAGGTATGTAGGAGACAGAGTTATGAGCGATCCCTTGCCTATTTACTCCACCGCTTACTGAGTATTTCCAAGGGCCCAGAATTGTGCTGGGTGTCAGGGACGCCATAGTGAATGAAACAGTTCCTGCCTCAAGGAGCTCAGAGTTCAGTGATAGAGTCAGACAAGTAAACAATGAGCATCCAGTTTGTGAAATGCTATGTTAGAGGCAATAACCAAAAGGGGCTCTTAACCCAACTTCAGCAGATTCAAGGAAGGCTTCTGGGAGGAGGTGATATCTGACTCCAGAGGCCTGAGGAGAAGGAAGAGAGGAGGGAAGGGAATTTTACATAGAGGGAGTAATAAGTGTAAAGGGACTTGGATATATGTAAATATTTCATGGGGGATGGGGGGAAAAGGGAGAAAGATTAATTTTAAAAAAAAAAAGCAGAGATAAAGATTTTTTTAAAAAACACAACTTCATTGGGGAGAGTTTAATATGGTGCAGGAATCAACAATCTGGAATTCTGAATTCACTAAACCCTCTGCTCAGAAAAATAGCCATACATATCTGTATTGGCCAAGTACCAATCCACAGATGATACCCTCATGAGCAGACATGGGTAGGGTGAAGGGAAATTAACAGGGATGGTGCCACACTCTGGGGACAGGGAGTGACGTTGCTGAGGAGGAAGCAGTTATGGGAGTTAGCTGGAAAGAGCTGTGGTTGCAGGCTTTGGTAGAGAGATGCAGGCCAACAAGGCAGGGGCCAGGGGATGTAAACCTAGATCTCCTTCTCCTCCAGCCCTCAGATCTTCCACCTGGACCAAACCCAACCGGAAGCAAGAAGAAAAGGCAGCTGGGTTGACCTAGTGTGTGGAGATCATCCTCCCAGGGCACAGAGGAGTGCAGGAAAGGGTGAGATCACGTCTGGTGGTGCAAACAACGACTACCCAGTGTATACTCTCAGAATCTTTGGGTTATAATTTTAGGGGGTCGCTGACCTCCAGAAGCTAGTCTACAAACTTCTCATGGTTTAAAAACCCCAGGCCAAAATTCTAGGTCAACACTCCAAAGGGAAGAGGGGACCTGACACGACGTGGCCTTTGATGACTGCTCCCATCTCTTTTCTGGCTCCTTCTGTCACCCCCATTCTCCCCTGGTCTCCCTTCTGCCCCCTGAGCCCTCTGAGTGCACTGTTTTCTCTGCTTGGCTTCTCTTTCTTCTACTTTGATTCGCAGCATAAATGCCACTTCCTCATGGAAGCCTTCCCTGGCTCCACTCAGGCTAAATCAGCCACCCCATGACCACCTACCACTTTGCATTTACTTCTGAGCACCAGTGACTACCTGAAATAATCTTAATGCTAAACTTGCTTGTGTATTGTCTGGCTCCTACACTAGGTTATCAGCTCCATGATGACATGAACAGTGTCACATGCTCAGTAAATACATGTTGAATAATTGGAGAAAGAAAGAGTTTTTGTTTACTTGAGGGACATGTATCACCCATTTGGACCCCAGAGGTCAGCAAGAATGGCAGAGTAGGGAGATCCAAGGGCTGGTTCCGCCACGGAAATATCAAAAACAAACAAACAACGACAACAACAAAAAAATTAGGCAAAATCTGTCAGAATCAACTTTATCCGAACTCTGGAAAACAAACATTTATGCCAACCAAGTGAATGTTTAACAAGAAAAAGGCAACTTGAACATGACAGGAAAGCTTTGTGTTTTTGTTTTTCACCTGCCTTTGTCCCATCTTCTTCCCCAGCATAGCAGAGACCTTGAAGCCAGCAGCCTATGCTCCCAGTATGGGGTTCTGGTTCCTGAAGGAGCAGAGCAGCCCCTATTCTCAAAATACTGTGTTTCTCAGTTTGAACATATCTGGGGGCTACAGAAGCACTGTTCAAGGTGTTGGTTTTATTTAACTCGGAATGCATTCCTTGAAAACATTTGCAGGCAAAGGAAGAACTCAGAGCTGCCCAGGGTAAAAGATTACAAAGGAGGAAAACAGTGGACATACCAAGAGCCTGGGCGGAAAAGCTGAGGTGAAATTTTCTTTGGGTAATAAAGGCTTTCAAAAGCACCCATATAAGCTAAGGAATTTAGGAAGCAACATGCATGCCCAGGGAAGAACGCATGCTCAGAAAAGACTTGAGAAGACCCTGAGCTTTCACCTTTGGCTGATCTCCAGGCTCAGCACAAGCAGGAAGTGAAGGCTAAGGCAGAGTTGTAGGTGCCCTGGCTAAGCATTGGAGCACTCCAGCACAGATCTGCAAAGACTGGTAGATGTTTTTTATTGTTTCTTTTTCTTTCTTTCTTACTTTCCATAATATATAAAGAACTGTTAGGGGGCTGGCTGGTTAGCTCAGCTGGTTAGAGTGCAGTATTATAACACAAAGGTCAAAG